ATGAAATGCGTTTATGCGGTTTAAGGTTCAAAAAACACATTTTCCACATACTGTACATTATTGTTTCTCCTCTATGCCCCGCCTTTCTGAAACGCGTCGATTTTTACAAAGCTTATCGGTCTGAAAAGCAAGGTGTGCTGTGATTGGCTAGCTATCCAGTGCGTTATGATTGGCCGAATACCTCAAGCGTGTGACGGAAATGTTACGCCCCTAAAAAAAAAAAAAATGTTAACAGACTACATTAAATAAATTTTAATGACTCCAAAACTACCCAAAATTAAATAAACGTCCACAAAATAATTTATATATTTGATACATGGTATATTATAAAAACCTACAACCATTAAAGGGGTCATATGATGTTGCTAAAAAGAACATTATTTTGTGTATTTGGTATAATGAAATGTGTTTATGTTTAGTCTTTGCAACTTTACAGATCTTCTTTATGCACCAAGAGCTTGTAACACTCCAAAGAGAAAGGAAAAATTTAAATCGCATCTTTAAACATGCATTAAACGTGAAAGTGCTAATAGATAGTAAAAGCACTAAATTTTAAATTTTTAAATGATACCAGTTGACAAATTAATTGTGGCAACTCTAACATAAGAAAACTAAAAATAGAAAAAAATAAAACAATGGTACGGTGGCTGAGAGAGCTCAACGCGCTGCAAATGAAAAAACACATGCAAATAGAAAAGACACCTGCAAATTAAGAAAACGTCTTCATCAATTTGACAACACACACGCTACAAACTCACACAACACAAACAAATACAGAAACGCGCTGCAAATACTCACAACACAAACAAATGATATGGTCTGTGCATATTTGCAGCCAGTTTCGGTTTTTGTTTGTTTGTTTTGTATTTGCAGCGCGTTTGTTTGTGTTGTGAGAATTTGCAGCTTCTGTATTTGTTTGTTTTATATTTGCAGCGTGTTTCTTTGTTTGTGTTGTGAGAATTTGCAGCTTCTGTATTTGTTTGTTTTATATTTGCAGCACGTTTCTTTGTGTTGTGAGAATTTGCAGTGCGTTTCTGTTTTTGTTTGCTTGTTTTGTATTTGCAGCGCATTTGTTTGTATTGTGAGAATTTGCAGCGCGTTTGTTTTTGTTTGCTTGTTTTGTATTTGCAGCGCGTTTGTTTGTGTTGTGAGAATTTGCACCGCGTTTCTGTATTCGTTTGTTTTGTATTTGTTTGTTTGTGTTGTGAGAATTTGCAGTGCATTTCTGTTTTTGTTTGTTTTGTATTTACAGCGCATTTCTGCATTTGGTTGTGTTGTGAGAATTTGCAGCGTGTGTTGTCAAATTGATGAAGATGTTTTCTTAATTTGCAGGTGTTTTTCTATTTGCATGTGTTTTTTTTCATTTGCAGCGCGTTGAGCTCTCTCGGCCACCGTACAATGGTAAAGTACAAAAACAAACTTTATAAAATTAATAAATAAATTAAAATACTAAAAGAAAAAAAAACTTATATTAAAAGCTATTAACTCATTCATTTCAGCATCCGTTCCTATTCATTTTCACTGTACGGAAAAGATCTGACTAATATCTCCTCTTCTTTTCCACAGAAAAAAAAAAAACAGTCGTATGTGTTTGTAACAACTCAAGGTTGAGTAAAAGATGATTTTTGGCTGATTTATTCCTTTAAGGGCAGTAGGTTTCAGGACAAGGCCCATATTAGAGAGGGAATTTTCACTTTACACCTCAAGCAATTTTTTTGCTCGGTTCAATGTACACAGTTACAAACACATGTTGACATTGTACTCTAAGTGCTTGTGGCTTTAAGTCACCCATGAGGTTTTGAACATATACCAGGATGTAGGAAGTGTTGATGTTTATGTATCGTATTGGCTCACAGGACCGAGATGCTGCCAGAGTCTCAGGTGTAAAAAGCTGCTGAATGAGTTCTGTGTGATGTGGTTCGGCTCTTCAGGGAAAAAGGAAGCCATTTGAAAAGAATGCAGGATAGGAAAGGTAGTCGGTCCATTAAACAGCAGGCTGGTCTGAAATGAAAGCGCTATGCTAAGAGGGCACATTCTAATTGTAGACGGGCACAGCAGGAGACAACATATACATTCATGTGGTTTAAACTACTGCCGACGGACAATAACTACACTGCTAAGCGCAGGCAGCTGGTGCTTTTCACTGTCCTGAACCATATGGAGCAAAATCATGCTCCAATTTAGGCCCTAGCCCGGCCCGTGTCCGACAGCTTATCAGAATTACCGGCCCGAGCCCGTCTTTTTTCCCCTTCTCCCAAAACAGCTTATACTACTGTTTCAGCTATTAAAACAGTTCAGTTTTGTATGTAATGGCAAAGTGATTATATTTCGTTTAGTTTTTTTATTAAGTTAATTTAGAAAAACGTTTTGAGCATTTTTGTTCGTTAAATATAAGTTTTTGTTTTTTAAAGTAACGACCAAGCGGCCAGCGGCAGACAGTGAGCCTATGTTTGATCAATTTAGCCTTCTCAAATCATCACAACTTGCCTAAAATAAAATCTATAGATATAAAACAGTTCAAGCATATAACAATGTTTAAACGTTAAACCTAGATAAATGTGCGCTATATCCAATAGTTTGTGTGGAGAGCGGAAGCTAAAGCGTGCTTTGCAAGACATGGAGACACCAGCACGATCGCTTGCATTTTTTCAGTGGAAACAACTTAAAATACGCTGTCATTTTTGCTCATAAGAGTAATACATCATTCGGAACTATAAAGGGTCTACTTTTATTTGCGTGCACTCACAATATCAACAAAACGTTGTGCTTTTATAAAATAAAGAATATAAACATGATGCGCTTTATGCCGTCTCGTCTTGAACAGGAGCGCTTCACAAAAATTATCCGAAACTCAGCGAATAGATGCCTCACGGGCATGATAAATATATCTATAGAAAGCTTTAAATTACTACTTAACAAAATAAAACAAATCGAAAACAAAAACTTTCATTATAATCATAATCCGTAAAGATGCACTTCTCTCTAAAGGTGCGTCTAATGAGGAGATGCGAGTCAGGATCGGCAACGTCATCCTTGTGACACGGACTCAGAAAACACTAGTTTATTAGTAAATAATTCAAATATCTCCTTACTATTTCCCCCTGACACATTCATGGCAATTACTTTTGCCGGTGCTTTAGCCTAATGCGTGCACTTGAACGCAGAAGGCGCGCTCGCAGCTACTGCTGGCGGGACACTAAACACTTTCGATCCGCTCTCGACAGTCGCAGTAGCACGGTCTCGTGTTGTTTCCACCAGCGCGGCAATTTTTTTTTTCATCACTAATTGATGGATATCTAAAATACAAAAATAAGGAGAAGCCTAAAATAGGCCCGAGGCCCGACCCGCATCTGAACTATGATGTAAAAATTGGCCCGAAGCCCAGCCCTAGTGGCGTAAAAAAGTCGGGGCCCCATCGGGCCCGGGGCTGAAATGCAGGGCTCTATGCTACTATACCTCATATTAGCCAAATACAAAGGCAGCATCTTATGTATACTTCATGACTACGTAAATCCCAGAATGCATTGCGACAAGAGAAACAGATTATCCAAGTCTTTAGTCAGGTTAGATGAATGCAGATGAAACTGAGACTGTGATGGATAGACTTACAATCTTTACAATGGCACACACTGTATAAAGGTCCTAGATTATGTAATTTTCACAGTTTGCACTTTTTAACCCTTTCATGCATGGTGTCCACTTCAGTGGACAGATATTTAGAAGCCATTTTGAACCATTTAGGTTGTAGCACCAGGTCCCAACCACCAACTGGTGAACCACCAAAGTGTTGTCTATGATTCCATTTAATTATTGTCTTTGAATCTCTTTTTTTCTTTCTTTTGAGATATTGCATAATATATTCAAAAAGGCAATGGAAAGAGGAGATGCACCAAGTATCTCAGGAATAAGTGTTAAATCCTTTTATTCTCAGAAAACCAGATGGGTACAAAAAATATTTTTCAGCTAAATAGGATGTCATTATTTTTAGATTTTAACAATATTTTTCTTATACATTTTCTTCTGTAACAGAAAATATATCTGTCCACTACAGTGGGCATCATGCACCAAAGGGTATAATGGACCCGTATATAGATTCTGACTTATTTTGTATGTTTTATTAAAATTATGATATAACTTATACTTAAATAAATAATAGTCTTCAGATTTTATCATTTATTTCAATGATTACAGTCTATATTTATTTATTGGATACAGAGCCTAAATTATGAAAACTGTGTCAGTGTCCAAATATGGACTTAATTGTATATGTATGTATATAACACAAAAGTAGATATTTTGAAGAATGTGGGTAACCAAACAGTTGACGGTAACCATTGACTTCCATAGTACAGAAAAAAATACTACGGAAGTCAATGGCTACTGTCAACTTTTTAGTTACCAACATTCTTCAAAATATTTACTTTGGTGTTCAACAGAAGAAAAAAACTTGTACACTTTTGGAACAAAATAAATTTTGGGGTGAACTATCCCTTAAAATTATTATTATTATTATTATATTACATTCAAGTTAAGACATATTGTGGATAGGGTGCTACCTTAGAAGGAAGCCTACAACCCAGGGTTTAGAACAGTCTTTGAGTCCGTACTGGAAATACGTTTGACATTCTCTTTTTAATGGCCGCCAGGCTCAGTTTTATGGCAAATGAAGTTGTATTCACCGTGATCACATTTCCTGACGCCTCTTTAGGGGCTGTTCGCTAGACCATATTTAAGCCTGTATTAGCAATTACCATGATGTCTCATCTCTCGGCCCTGAGCTCAAAAAGATCAGCTTACTGGAAAAAGTCTCCACTCAACGGCATGAGGTACAGTTCTCCATTATATCTCACTCACTTATGTAACCGAGATCTTGGCTTGAGGGAGGCTCGGTGGCTTCCATCTAAAACGGTCTCTTTGAGATGAGCGTGTGTATGTGTGTCAGACAACGAATGCTAGATCAGGTGACACCTGTCGAGTGTGTGTCTGTGTCGGTGTTTGACCTGGTCCTCCGTGACAACTCCTCTGCCGTCAGCGTGTGTGAGAAAACAGCACAGCGGCATGCTCTGACACAGATGACCCAGCAACATGGACACCTCTTTCATGGTCCTCCAGCAACACACCAGCACCATCTGAGCGGTGACTCGATAGGCCTCTCCATCACCACCACCTAGACAACACAAATACACACACACACCCCCCAAATAAACACTCACACTTTTTTCTACTCAAATGTCGGCCTCTCATGGACAGAACATGTATTACAGCAACACCAGCCTGCATTTGAAATAAATTCTGGTTAAAATATGAGTGCGGTTACTATAGACATAATACTAGTGAATTTATGACGTGTCTGAATGTATGAAATTTGAGTTTAAAATTAGTTTTTTTGATACAGATGCTATGGGAGAGGTGCATGAACTGTATTTAGTGAAGGGCGATCGTGTTTGTACCACTGTTACAGGATTGTGGTTTATGAACTGCGTTCTCTGGCTCTTTCTGTTCGCTGTTACAGTCGCTCTCACTGGGGTCCAGCTCTCTTGCACTAGTGAAAAAATCGTTTGTGTCACGAGGTTGAATCTCCTGCAGGATCTTCTGGAGGCCAGCAGAGGTCTCTGTGGAGAGAAGAACAATATGTACTGTTATCACATACATGCAACTGACAGATTTAAATTGGAACAACATACTGTCCTGACTCCTAACAAATACAATGCGACATTGAAATTTAATAGAGCTAAAATAGTTGTGACCATGTGGACTTCTAGACACTTACAATGTCCAACATGCATTACAGGAGAATTGTCTTTTTTTTTCAGAAAATTGTGAATATTTGTATTACAATGGAATTTCTAATAAAATTTCAAATGATGTATTGTGTTTAATAGCATTCTGGGTTGGAAATGTCTGTGACAAAAGCTGATTTGTCAATAGGCTAATTTCATAGCTAGCATTCCATTTAAAGTGGCTTTCATAAAACAAAAATAAAACAATATATGCTGTAAAGTCAGTAAAAAAAATTTAATAATCAAGTAAGGTTTCCCAAACACAAATAATTAACAATTAATTCTGCACAATTAAAAATATACGCAAATAAAGTTAAAATAGTGATATAGCTTAGAGCAATTATCATATTTTAAGACATAACATGTACTAGTATTGCAACTTGCACTGTAAAATAAAAATGAATATTCAATATTTGGCATTACAACTATATATTTACAAACAATATTTCAGTCTTATTATTATTATTATATAGCATTTTGTTAATAATATTAATTCTTATGAATGTGTTTACTGAAATATTAACTTGAAATCTCGGCGGGTACTTCAAGTAAATATTTTTACATACCCCTATTCCAGTTAAATAAATACAAATGAAAAAAAATCTAATTTTCATCTAATTGAATTATTTTCTCTTTTATATAGAACTTGATAGACATAAACCAACATAACCACAAAAGACTGACATTATAAAATGCACAGTTCTGCCTCTGAATTCTATATGGAAGTGCCAAGTTGTGATATTGCTGGACAACTGAACATAAAACTTGCCATTTTGGTCAACAACACAAACTAAGATGTTCTTCCTCGCCTTAACTATCTTGGGACATGTCCCTCTTTACATTTTTAGTATTACTACATGTTTTTTAACACATCCCTCTCATGTGTAGCAATCACAATCTATACAGTATAAACAGTATAGCAATCAGTTGACGCATTTTTACTGTCACACATGACATACCACCCATTACCACGGCAGACGAGAGGCTACCTTGTGCAAATCAAGGGACAGACAGAATGTCTACTAGTGCATTGCTGGACATGCTGCCATGTTAGATGCATTTACCAGACTCTGTATCCATGGGAATAAGGCCCTCAGGGGAAGAGCTCTGAACCACAGGTGACACGACATCAGACATCCTGTAGCACAGGCCTATGAGCTCGGACACAACAGCCCTCCACTCAGACAGCAGTACAAGTGATCTGAACACACAGAAACATATCAACCACACACACACACCAGACACAAGGAACGCAAAGACCTCTGTACTAGACGACTAAAGGTCGAGTGTGTGTGGATGTACCCAGTGTTGAGCTGCTGCAGGACTGCAGTGATGCAGTGAGCTCTGCCATATAAAGGATAGGAAGCAGCGGCCTGCAGAAGAGACGACTCGGCCTTCAAAACCTCTTCCTTCAGACACACCATCAGCCACTGCACCACTGAAACATCACAAATATGCTCTCTAATTTAGACATACATACATACATATACATACATATACACATGATTTAATTTAGATTAATGTATGGAGTTAAAACAACCGCAAAAGTCTCAATTTCCACTCATGAAAAACAATGTATATTGGTAATGTATATTTTGTGTTTGAATCTTTGTTTTCTACAAAACATTATTAATCAAAAGAAATTATTAACTGTATATTAAAAATCAGTAATATTATTGATAATAGCAGTAGTAGTGTAACAGATTTTTTTAGGATGAAAATTCTAAATGTATATAAATTTTAATTATATAATTTATATAAAATTTTCAAGTATATTTCTGAAAATTGTAGATTAAAGGGTGACTTCACCAAAAAAATTCTCATCATTTACTCATCCTCATGTCTTTCGAAATGCACTTACATTAATCTTCAAAACACAAATTGAGATATTTTTACTACACCCAGAAAGATTTTGGTCCATGCACAAGTAAGCTAAACCTTCATAATTAAAAATTTAAAAAATTAAAAAAAATTAATAAAATGTTCAAAATTTTGGTTACATAAACTTTCAATGGAGGGAGCAAATAAAATATATGTGAAAAAATCCTAAATAAAATCTGTTCATTATATAGTCATAACGTCTCTTCAGAAGACTTAAACCGCTCGATTCATAAGGATTCATTTTACAATGTCTTCATAAACATTTTGAATCAAAGCTTTGGTTTCATGGAATTTCAATTTTGGGACAGAAATCGGTCAGGTTTTTCATTAAAAATATCTTGTACCTTTTTGTTCTGAAGATAAATGAAAGTCTTGTGGGTTCGGAAAGATGTGAGGGTGTGTAACTGATGCCAATTTTATTTTTTAGATGAACGGTCCCTTTAAGAATGGACACTTGGTTTTTGAAGTTTTTTTACATGCATTTTGCAGTGTTAAAGTTCACAATTAAATTATGGAAATTATGAAAAGTCTTGAAAATTTATATCCTGCTTAAAGGTGACCTATCCTGAAAATCTGACATTTCCAGGTTTTAAGTGCTATAATCAGGTCCACGGTGCATCTACCAACCAAGGAAACGTGAAAAAGATTAACCCAGTAACTTTGTTTTGGTAAGCCTTTTTCTGCAAGCGTCTGAGAAAACGAGCGCGTCTGATTTCGCTCCCTTGGTGATGTTGCAAAGGGATTCATTATAATATTACCGCACCTTAATCTGTAAGTTTCCACCCACGGTGCCGTCATTGTGTTTTCGCAAGCGACAACGGTGTACTAGTTCTAATGCCATGGCGAAAGTTTGAGCAAAACATACTAACTGTTCTGCCTTTGTCTGCACAGACGAGCACAGAACACTATTTAGATCTAAAATAAACATGACTTATTTCCCAGCAGTATACCTTCACAGACATAACCGACTGTTTTTGTAACTCATTTGTGTTCTGTGACAGCCGCTTTCTGTCCGTGTGCTTCGGATGTGTGCTCTCAGAAAACCGTATATCAGAAGTTTAAACTCATATGGTTTAAACCGCATGATTTCAGCTCGATAAACATGATAATCAGAACCATAACAGATGTTTTTAGCAGGTCCGAGCTGTAATGGCGCAGCTCTATTCTGTAAAAGAGGGCGGGGAGCAGCAGCTCATTTGCATTTAAAGAGACAGGCCCGAAAAACCGCGCGTTTCTGCTTCCACTCAAAATAGGCATTTTCAAAATGTTATAATAAATGATCTGTGGAGTATTGTGAGCTGAAACTTCACAGACACATTCTGGGGACACCAGAGACTTATATTGCATATTGTAAAAAGGGGCATAATATGTCTCCTTTAAACCTACAATCTTTCAGATGGCAGCCTGGATCATAAACCAATATGTACACCCATCTTGAGTGATGGTCATCTAACACTAGCGTACCTGCCAGAGTGTTCTGCTCCAGACTGGCAGCCTCAGACGTCTGGGACTGGATCAGTGCTGGTGGCTGGACAGGGATGTGCCGCTTCTGGATACAGCGGAGTAACGCAGCCTGCAGACCCGGCTGGTGCAGCAGCAGGTTGAGAAGATGAGCGGCAGTGACGCTGTCGAAGGGTTTGGTGCTGGTGCTGAGGTCCAGAGCGACCTGAAGCAAAGACTGCAGCCTCTCCGGCTCCTACACAGAGGAGGACATGCATTCATATTAATTTGAACATTGCTCAGTAGTACTCTCAGACTCTTACTTTCACACTGACCTGGAGTCGCACTGCTGCGGGGGGCAGCTTTTGTAAGAGGTTGCAGGCGAGATGTTTGACTTCAAGAAAGTTGCTTGCAAGACAGTACAGCACAGCTTGAGCATGAGAAAAGCTCACTGACTCTCCAAGAGCAAAACCGCAGCCTGAAAAAAAAAAAAAGAGGTGAACAGATGATTTGAAGTATAATGAGGTGACTAGTGAAGTAGTGAATGTCTTAGAGCAGGGTGGCTGACGGCTGATATAAAGGCGATAAAAGCTTATATGATACCATGCTATTTAAAGATAGTAAATAACACATGGATAACAACTTCTGCAATATACTGTAATAATATTTATTTTACATAATATGTACTAAAATTATTATAAATAATTAGGGAAAAAAATAATTTTAACTTGATAAACCTGTAAACAGATTTTTATTTTACCAATAATTAAAAACAGCAATAAATTTAAAGGAATGGCATACTGTATATCGACCAATAATATTAGTTTTGGCAACATACCACTTAAGATGACATCCTTGTGCAAGTAAAAGTTATAAAAATACCTGTGTTAAAGGTGAAATGCTCAGCGATCAGCCCCAGCAGGTGTAGAGCCATCAGACACCTGGAGAATGAGGCTCCTGGGTGAAACACCTGGAATAGAGTCTCGCAGAACCAGCGCAGAAACTCCTGATAAGAGAGAAAATTGATTTTCAGTTTAAAGGGGTCATGAACAGATAAATCAAAATTCCCTTGATCTTTTGATATATAAGAGGACAGTGTGCTATAAAAACATCCTGCAAGTTTCAGAACTCAAAACTTAGTCTCGTTAGTCTAAAAACAGCTTATATTGAAGCAAACCTGCCAAAACGACAGCTTGTGGAATGTTCTACTTTATGACATAATAGTGTGGCTAAACACTGCCTCTGCAGAAGATGATCAACCCCTGCTTCTGCATCGCTGCCTGTTTAGCCCCGCCCACCGATTCACGCATGTAGTGTAAATAAAGAGAGGGGCAAACGCAGGTCTACGCAGAAACCAAACTATAAACTTTTTTTGATTAACTATTTTTAAAGAAGTGCCAGACCACGTCAGTAGTCAGTAAGACCTTTGTTCACTTAATTTTACCACAGATTCGTTTAGAATCAAGGCTCAATTCAACACAGGACACAGGAAAAGATTGAAACTAAAAGACGATGCTGTGCTAACTATATTGGATCCAACAGTAATGTCGCAACACACAAGTGTGAGTAACTGTTTTTATTACATAGTCACTTCTACTTTGTTATTACACAATATCAAACTGACCGCCACAAATACATTTTCCAAAAGGCTTTGACTTCGTTGAATAAACATGAGCACTGCACGTTTTAAAATCGAAACCCGGTGCGAGTGTTTTTATATCACTGTATTTCTGAAGGAAACCGACTGTCTTCGGAAATTTTGGATGTCATTTCATTTTGCATGTAAAGTCTGATAAAGCAGCGTTTGTGAGCAGAGCCCTGCTTTGTGTACAGCCGTTACCAGGGAAACCTTTATTTCTCCCGCTCTACAAGCGCCTCCTACTGGCAGAGAATGAATTTGCATATATATGCCACCACAAATAGAGTGCAAGTCTGTGGGAAACACTGTGTATACTGAGTATTTTTGTGTTTTTAACCTAAACCACAACAGCGTCCATCTATGAGGAATGTACGCTGTCAAACACACAACTGTTAGCCAATCATAGCAGTGGGCGTTTACTTCCGAGTCTACAATCCGCCCCGACCATTTAAGCAAAGCATTCACAGGGCTCTACAGTGCGACCATTTCAGTCGCATTTGTGACTGAAAACTACTGCGTGCGACTATGAAAAGAATATTTAGGAGCACCAGTGTACTTCAAATTTGAAGCCTTTTACTTAGTATTTTAATTAGTGATACGCTGATCATAGCTGATTCAGAATTCAGATTTTCTTTTCTTTTTTTCTTTTTTTTTTTAACTAGCAAATTGGATTCTGATACTGATACTGATTTTTAAGCAAATTTATTTATTGGCTATTTGCTTTATAACAAACAAACTGGCTTTAAACAAAAATATCTAGCCATTTGAAATTAGAGGCAACCACTGCATTTTAATCATGATCTGCACGGGCAGTTGTTTTTGATTTGATTTAGATTAATTTCAGGATTTAAAACAAAAACAGAATGGTCTGACTTTAGGTGTTATTTATTTATTTGCTACATAAAACATCTGCACGAAACAAAAACAGCAGGTCTGAATGAGACGCACTCTCTGACAGCAGGTGGCTTATTTTACATAATATGTACTAAAATTATTATAAATAATTAGGGAAAAAAATAATTTTAACTTGATAAACCTGTAAACAGATTTTTATTTTACCAATAATTAAAAACAGCAATAAATTTAAAGGAATGGCATACTGTATATCGACCAATAATATTAGTTTTGGCAACATACCACTTAAGATGACATCCTTGTGCAAGTAAAAGTTATAAAAATACCTGTGTTAAAGGTGAAATGCTCAGCGATCAGCCCCAGCAGGTGTAGAGCCATCAGACACCTGGAGAATGAGGCTCCTGGGTGAAACACCTGGAATAGAGTCTCGCAGAACCAGCGCAGAAACTCCTGGTAAGAGAGAAAATTGATTTTCAGTTTAAAGGGGTCATGAACAGAGAAATCAAAATTCCCTTGATCTTTTGATATATAAGAGGACAGTGTGCTATAAAAACATCCTGCAGGTTTCAGAACTCAAAACTTAGTCTCGTTAGTCTAAAAACAGCTTATATTGAAGCAAACCTGCCAAAACGACAGCTTGTGGAATGTTCTACTTTATGACATAATAGTGTGGCTAAACACTGCCTCTGCAGAAGATGATCAACCCCTGCTTCTGCATCGCTTCCTGTTTAGCCCCGTCCACTGATTCACGCATGTAGTGTAAATAAAGAGGGGGCAAACGCAGGTCTACGCAGAAACCAAACTATAAACTTTTAGTCACTTCTACTTTGTTATTACACAATATCAAACTGACCGCCACAAATACATTTTCCAAAAGGCTTTGACTTCGTTGAATAAACATGAGCACTGCACGTTTTAAAAGAATGTGCCACTTTATGATGTAATAGTGTGGCTGAACCCCGCCTCCACTGAAGAAGATCAACGCCTGCTTCTACATCACTGCCTGTTTAGCTCCGCCCACCGATTCGCACATGTTGTGTAAATAATGATAGGGGCAAACGCAGGTCTACGCAGAAACCAAACTATAAACTTTTTTTGATTAACTATTTTTAAAGAAGTGCCAGACCACGTCAGTAAGAACTTTGTCCTTTGTTCACTTAATTTTACCACAGATTCGTTTAGAATCAAGGCTCAATTCAACACAGGATTTTAAGAAAGATTGAAACTAAAAGACGATGCTGTGCTAACTATATTGGATCCAACAGTAATGTCGCAACACACAAGTGTGAGTAACTGTTTTTATTACATAGTCACTTCTACTTTGTTATTACACAATATCAAACTGACCGCCACAAATAGATTTTCCAAAAGGCTTTGACTTCGTTGAATAAACATGAGCACTGCACGTGTCAAAGTCGAAACCTGGTGCGGGTGTTTTTATATCACTGTATTTCTGAAGGAAACCGACTGTCTTCGGAAATTTTGGATGTCATTTCATTTTGCATGTAAAGTCTGATAAAGCAGCGGTTGTGAGCAGAGCCCTGCTTTGTGTACAGCCGTTACCAGGGAAACCTTTATTTCTCCCGCTCTACAAGCGCCTCCTACTGGCAGAGAATGAATTTGCATATATATGCCACCACAAATAGAGTGCAAGTCTGTGGGAAACACTGTGTATACTGAGTATTTTTGTGTTTTTAACCTAAACCACAACAGCGTCCATCTATGAGGAATGTACGCTGTCAAACACACAACTGTTAGCCAATCATAGCAGTGGGCGTTTACTTCCGAGTCTACAATCCGCCCCGACCATTTAAGCAAAGCATTCACAGGGCTCTACAGTGCGACCATTTCAGTCGCATTTGTGACTGAAAACTACTGCGTGCGACTATGAAAAGAATATTTAGGAGCACCAGTGTACTTCAAATTTGAAGCCTTTTACTTAGTATTTTAATTAGTGATACGCTGATCATAGCTGATTCAGAATTCAGATTTTCTTTTCTTTTTTTCTTTTTTTTTTTAACTAGCAAATTGGATTCTGATAAAAGAAAAGTAAGCGGAGAGCCCTGATTCAGATGAGGGGGATCAAGTCAGGAAAGAAAATAGCCTATTACTTCTTAATTATGATATTTTTTTATGTAAAAATCTTGATAACTTTATAAGTGGACCTCAGAGAACAGTGCAAAATAAAAATAAAAAACAAAGGCAGTTCATGACACCTTTAAGAAAATGTGAGTGGTGCTTGGCTATACAAAACAAACTACACAACAGTCGCATGGCTTCAAAGTCACTACTTTGGTTGGTTTACTTATTTACCAACTTGAGTTGGAATAGTTCGCAAGAGTAAACTAGTGAGTAAATGAGTTTTCCTGTTCAGCGTGATGATGTTTAATTAATGTCCCCAACTAACTCATGAAGAAAAAAAAAAAAAAAAAAAACAAGTGGAGAATTACCAATGTATTCATCACAACTAACAGAACACATTTTTCTTCAGTTATCTTAATGTTTATTGCTTCATGTGTGCCTCTCCTGTGTTTAACACATCACTCAATGTCTGTGTAATCAGAGGACTCTTATCTCTCGGTTCCTGATGTTCCTTGGCACTTCTTGTTGTTTAGATTTGTAAATTCACTCCTTTAGCTAGATTTTCCATGTGACTTTTTGGTTTAGTCAGTTATCTAATCAGTTTCAAAAGCAAAAACGTCTATTGAGTAAATTCATTCACGCAAAGATTTAGAACCAATGAATCTCCTAACCATGAAGTGTATCTTACAGCTCAGTTAGTATCACAATTCTACCTGGTACATGTTGAAGACTTGCTGGTCTTTGTGGTTGTGATGCTGGTCTAGTTTCTTTTGCAGCAGCTGAGCGCTGTCCTTCACCCTACACAGGAGCTAACAACACAACAAAACAGACACGAGCCAATCAGAACACGCCTCCAATGTCCTCTGGCCAATCAAAGCTTGAGCCATCATCGCTTCCTACCTTCTTTAACAGACTGACAGTCTGCTGTCTGACTCCTGGTGACTGACTGTTTAGATTAAAGGGCAGGAAGTGCCGGATCAGCTCTATTTCCTGTCTGGACAGAGTTTCTGTGCTGCGATGGCTCTCACATACCAAACCCAGAGCATCCATTCGCACCTGAAATTACATAAACAGCCTTCAATTCTCTTTGTGTTATAGAAATGACACAGTTTAGCACGTCAGACATTAACTATTAAAGATACAGTAAAATATAATGCGGCTCCCGTTTACCTGATCGTGTTTGTGCACCAGAGCCTGTCGCATTAGTGGGAGCGGCACCAGGCCACCCCACAATTCCTCCTCCACAGACTTGAGAACACCCTGAGACCGGGCGGCACGCAGACACGTCATCAAAGCCCCCAACGCACCTCTGCTGCCAGCTGACCCTGAGGAACAAACACTTAGCACTTACAAAAAAACAAGAAGTTTTATACAATATCCCTAATTCCTCAAAATCCTCATTTAAATTCAATAACACTGTTTTTGAAAAATATTCCACACTCAAATACCCTAAAATTACTTATACACATATATACACAAATGAACACTGTAAAAATTAAAAAATGCAAAAATAATCATAATAATAAAAAAAAAAATTTTAAATATCCATGATTACAATTTCTGTAAATCAGTTGAAACTGTCTGTTTCAATCTCTGAGCATCATTCTTCAAGTAAAACGTAGTATCAATATTAACACAAATTATAAATTATGTATAGCTATTTTGATGATAAAAAAAACTATTTTTTTTTTTTATTTCTTGAGTTCATTTTGTGATAAGTAGTGTTTTTCCAGACGTATTCCAGAAGTATTTATTTTTCCTATTTTCTGTTTCAATGTATAAATACATTGTGTGTGTGTGTGTGTGTGTATGTATATATGTATGTATGTACGTACAGCGGGTAAAATATGTATTGAACACGTCACCATTTTTCTCAGTAAATATACTGACTTGCTTCTCAAGAAACACTGCTATTATTATAATGGCGAAAACATTTGTGCTGCCTAATATTTTTGGGAATATATATACATATACTATAAAATTCTGTTTAAAGAAACAGCATTTTTTCAAATAAAATATTTTGTAACATTACAATATGTTTTTACTGTCACTTCGATCGGTTAAATGTCCTTGACTCCGAATAAAAACAAACTAAATTTAAAAAAACTCTTTAAACTCGCCCAATCTTTCAGTACTGTATATACACAAGTCTCTTACCCTCAGTGCAAGCTGGCATCTTCTGCAGGGCTTGTACCATGTGGCTAAGGCTGGAGGGGTTGCAGCGTAGCAGTTTGGGCAGGAAGTAGTCCAGTATATAAGTGGTTTGATCCAATCGGGCTGTGCCTTTTGTAACATTACAATATGTTTTTACTGTCACTTCGATCGGTTAAATGTCCTTGACTCCGAATAAAAACAAAATAAATTAAAAAAAACTCTTACTGCGCCCAATCTTTCAGTACTGTATATACACAAGTCTCTTACCCTCAGTGCAAGCTGGCATCTCCTGCAGGGCTTGTACCATGTGGCTAAGGCTGGAGGGGTTGCAGCGTAGCAGTTTGGGCAGGAAGTAGTCCAGTATATAAGTGGTTTGATCCAATCGGGCTGTGCACAGTACCTGCAGCAGAGGCCTCACCCAAACTTCTATCCAGGCATCCCCAGCCCTAAACCGTGCACACAACTGGGCCTTATGGCTGACAAACAGCTTCTCCAGAAGGTCGCTGGCGTACGGTGCCATCGTCTGATCCCCCATCAGATCCAGCAGCCTGGATGGCAGCCCCCCATCAAGCTTGAGTAAATACTCTGCTCCTAAATGCTCCACCAGGCAGCCCAGTGTGCCGTACTTCCCTTTCATATGCCACTCCAGCATTAGAAGGTCCTGGGTGAGCTGGGTGATGTAAGGGTCACCGGTGGGATCGGACTTGTGGTCACTGCAGTGCTGGTGGAGCGTGAGGAGGTTCTGGAACATGAAGCACGTCTGGTGTCGAACCCCGTCCAGCGGGTGCTCCCAGTGGGCGTAGATGTGCTGGTGAAGGCGTGCGATTAGAGAAGAGCCTCCAATTAGAGACGAGCGAAGGAGAGGGGGACGTGTGTCCACCTGGACGCAGTAAACCGCAGCTCCACTCCAAAGTGTCAAAACCCGAGCCACTACCATCACCGTACTGGACTCCTTCACTCTGAGAGAGAGATTCATGACAAAGAGCAGTTCAAATGGAAATCCAGGCTGATCAACTTCAAAATGAACTAAGCTCAGCAGTACAATGTGAATTAGGGGATGAATTTAGTGATGCAACCTAACGGAGTTAAAAAAAAAGAAAGATTGTATTATTACTCTTTCATTTTGCTTTCTCACAACTGAAATTACAAGATTAATCATTATTTGCTACTGACATTCATTTTTACCAAAAACAAATGTGAAGAGAAAAATACTAAACATATTTTCATCTTTTTTGTCCTTTTAACATAAAAATGGTTGATAGAAAAAGAGGGTTTTTAGAGTTTTTAAAATGGTTTTTATTGTGTCTTTCCAGGGGGTTTCTCATTTCCCGTCACTTTTAGCTTGCTCTGTAAATATTCACAATATTTACTGTAATGCAGCTTCAGAAATATTATTGTGGAAAAACTTTCAGCAAATAAATGACGAATATACACTGCCGTTTCTCAGTATTTTGTTGAAATTCTATTAATATTTTCAATACTTTCAACTTTCAGCATGGATGATTTACATTGAAAAAGTGACAGTTAAGATATGTTAAAATAAAGATTTCTATTCAAATAAACACTTTTCTTTTGAACTTTTTATTCATCACAGAATAATTCTTCAAAAGAAAATGTATCACAATTTCCACAGTAAATATTAAGCAGCACAACTGTTTTAAGAGTTGATAACAACTGATAATAAGAAACAACTGATAATAAGAATTCATTTATTTATTTATTTATTTATTGAGCAGCAAATCATCATTTTGGAATGATTTCTGAAGGATCATGTGACACTGAAAACTGGAGTAATGATGCTGAAAATTCATGCTAAATAAATTACATTAGAACATTTATTAAAATAGGAAACAGCTATTTTAAATTGTAATAATACTTAACAATATTACAGTTTTTTTCTGTATTTTAATCAAATAAACGCAGCCTTGGTGAGCATAAGAAACCTCTTTCTAAAACATGTTTAATTTTTAAAGTAGTATATTGTAGTATATAGTAGTATATTGACTGATTTGTTGAACTTCCAACCTTGTAAGCATTTAATAATTATGACAACATAAAGCACTGACAAATAAGCCTGGTGTAAACATTAATATGCAAGTCAGTAACAAATCGCACAAACTAAAGTAGATTGCAGAAATATAAAAACAAATCTGTTGCTTTACCACACTACTTTAGGTAATTCAAAGTCACTGTAATAAACATGTGGACTGCACTAAAACACTGTCTGTTAACTTTAGAACAGTGGTTCTCAAACTTTTTTGGTCATGCCCCCCTTTAAACCTATAAAACAATCTTTCCCGAATCCCCATCCCACCTCAGACTACCAACTAATTTCACTAAACATTGTAAAAAAAAATCAATGCTTTTTTAATTTAAAAAACCTACAGGGAAAAAAACACCTGCATCACTTGAAACATTGAAAAATAGCATAGAGAGAATAACTGTTATTATTATTATTCTCTCTGTTATTTATTTATTTTTTGTGGGTTTCATGCTGTCCGCTAAGGCATAGGACACACACAGGCTTTCCTCCTCACCAACGACATTAAACACCGTGTCTACACCGGACGCGAGTGGCAAAATACAGTAGAACCATTATAATCAGTGGCACGGTGTACACTGGATGCGACGCGACAAAACCCGACATTAAACTGATGCCTCGTTCTATTTATGACGTACTGACACAAAGTTAAAATGATATGCAACAGTCACTTTGTCGCATCCAGTGTAGAGCTGTTGTGGCACGACGCGACAACTGTAGCGTCTGGTATAGACACGGTGAGTGAAGCCAAGAGCAAGATATGCCTCGTCATATTTTCTGCATTTAGCTTTTAAATGACCAGCACCTGCCTGGGTCTGTGCGACTTCATCTATGGC